ACACGGTGGTATGGTTGGTAACAAGACAGTTCTGGGTTCCTCTTCTGGGGAGAACCTTTCTGTTTAAAGTTTGTTTACTGGTGTCTTCCCAAAGGAAGAACAAAAACATGTAAATTAGATAATCTGTTGACTCAGTGATGGACGGGGGATTTACCTGTGATTTAACTCAACTAACAACAACGACTACAGGAGACAGACATGTTCTCCAGCTCAGCGGTTCATGTGTTTAAGGAGTGATGATGATGCGTTTTGGATTTTTCTATCTATAATCCTAATTTACAGATTAGGATTCAAGATACTAAATAAGGTTGCATAGTTGTTGCTAAATTATTAAAGGTACACACAATAGTAAACAGGGACAGACATGTGCCAAAACATAATGACTAACTCAGGCGTGTTTCTGACAGGCTGCTGAATTTGTCAAAAAATCATCTGTCTGATGCCTGGCTGACCCCCGGCAAATGAAAGTAATCCAAGGTAATTAGAAGTGAGCTGGTCTGGTTCTGAGAGCCCCCGGGCAGCCGGGTAAACATGGTGGAGGGGTCCAGGAGGGGCCCTCAGGAAAATAAAGGGGAGAGAGATGGGGGCTGACCTTGTCCATATAAAGCAGTGATTTATGAAGTGCAGTGGCACAGCAGCAGGGCTTCTGTCTTCTCTCGCAATACCAAATTACTGAGGTGGAGATTAACACGCCGCTCACAACGGGCCCACTTCCAGAAGCAAAGGAAATTTTTTATTTACCTTGTTCTCCTCTCATTTCCTCCTCTGAGCTTTAATGCTATTTGGGATGCATGGAGACTATCCTTTAATATGGCGGCCTCACTTAAAGGAGTGTGTGTGCATAGGGGCTGATGGGTGTGCTAATTAAAGAATAAACTACAGAGTGTTGTGCAAACTGTTGGCTTTGAGCTCCCAAGGAGTTCCCACCACTTAATTGAGTCGCATTTGAGCAAAAATAAAACTCATGAGCAAAAAAAAAAACTCAGGATGGAGACTTATTACAGCTTTTTGTTCAAGTCAATAGGAGGTCCTGAATGGTGGAACTATTTGTGATATTTTCTTTTCTTTTTCCTCCTCTGGAAGATGTGTAGGAATGCGCGCATGCACAGGGCCTTCCCTGGTGTTTCCATGTTGTCCGCTCGGCTGCAGGAATATACAGGCCCCTGCACTGCAGCCCACACGGGAATCCCCTCATCCCCACCACCCATCACCCCTCTCATCCCATCTAACGTCTTGCAAGCTTTGGAGCGCGCAAGAAACTCCAAAATCACATTTACGCATCCTATAAAGCTATGATTCTACCTATTACTGGGAAATAACAAGGCTGCGTTGGACCATGAAGCTCAACAAGAAAAATTTATTTGATCATAAAAAATAATCTATTCGTGTGAATTTGCGTGACTGAGCGACTAACATAAACCAAAAAAAAAAAAAAAAGCCGCAAGCAAAGTACGCACGGACCCTCTCCCATGCCCGTTTGGAGAACTTCACAGCCTCCTCATCACCAGATATGGTATAAGAGTATGAAATGCGTGATACAGTCGTCCCCCGAAGCCTGTTTGGTTTGTAATTTGTTGATAAACAGCTTTTCCACACCGCTCTTTAACGCGTCACAGTCGTCCCAACAAAAGGCGCGCGGAATAATTCAGATAAAGCATTTCATCTGTCGGAATTGTGCGTTTACGGCGCATTGCAAATCACTCTCCCGGTTTATTAAAACGAGCAAGTGTTTTAAATTCACCCCGAACGGTCTGGGGAAGCTTAAGCGATAATCTATTCATACAACAGCTGCATCTTTCATGTGCCATCTAACGATTTTAACGCCTTGTCAGCGGGTTATTATGGAGTTCAGATAAAAACAAAAAATATGTAAGTAATGTTTTTCTTTCTTTACTTTGAATTCGGTTACACATCTAGAAGTATAAAACAGAACATGTGTCTGAATGGTGTCATAAATACATATTTAAGTCGTAAAATTGCAGTCTATTTCATGGGTTCTTGCGGGGGTTTTCATATATTTTGTGCGTAAAATTTGATTCACACCAGCAACAAATTGAATTCATAAATATTTCAGATGTCATTCTCTTCTGAAATGTTCAAATGAAGTGATAAATAAGAGTTCAGGTCAGTTGATTATGCCCTCTGCTGGATGGATAAGGAAGTACAGCTGCTTCTGACTGTCTGATCTGACTGTTGCCCCTCTTTACCCCCTGGCCCTGTGATACCACAAACCCGGCGCGTTTATCCTCTTTTTTCCTTCAAACACTTCCTACCTTTTTAGGAAAAAAAAAGAACCGATCTGAAACTCCTCTCCCTGTCCTGGATCCTCGCTCAGACCCGGAGAGGGCCCGCGGAGCAATCACTTTCCCAGATTACTTGTATTTAATACACAATGCATCATAAAACAAATCCCTCATCCTGACAGGAAGAAAATAGAACAGCTCATTTGACTTGAGCTTTTCCCAATTTATGGCTAAATTAAAAAGGCTTCCAACAATGGACAAGTCGAGGAGAGGCAGGAAATCAATGACCGGGCGGACCAGGGGGTCTCTCCTCGGTTCTCAAGGAGCGGGGCGCGATGGGAATCGGTGGCGAGGTCTTGCCTTATTTACACACGATTTTTCCTGTCCTTCCTGCACATTTGCACGGCGATTTTTGTAAAACAATGGGCATTATCTGGGTGGGAAGGTCAATGTCACAGACTGAAGTTATCCATCATCATCTGCCCTCATCAGCCAAAGCTCCCGTTCTCTGAAGACTTTAGAAGATGCATCAGAACTCATGTTTCCTTTTTATCATCCCAGAAATGATTGTCTAGATTTTAAACTTCAGGAAAACAATCTGAAAATAAAACGTGTAACTTTTGGATTTTTTATTTTAAGATTAATTTAGGAATTTTTGAAAAGTTGCCTTTTTGAGCTGTGTTTATTTATTGTTCTGTCAGCAAACGTCATGGTGAAAACGTCGAATTCTTTTCTTTCTTATTTTAAAAGATTTTGTAAAATAAAACGTGTTTTTATTAATATTCTAAAAAATAAACGTAAGGAATAAAAAAACTTAGGTTTCAGGGCTAAATTCATGAAGGCATAGAGTCTGTAAGCACGTGGATATTAATTTACCGCCCTGCTTCATTAAATTGTTTCGTGTCTCTTACCGAAGCCCCTCCGCGACCTCTGCCTGACCCCGCTCACCCTCTTCAAACCTCCAGTCCCTGCCACTTTAAAATTTACTGCGGCGAGGAGTCCCTTCCGAAGGGGGGAGACGGGACCGGGGCTCAGACAGCCGACCCCCTATGGGGAGGGGGTGGAAGGATGCGGGGACGGGTCGCTCCTTTACGAGACAGCGCGCGGATGAGAAACATCACCCGAAACTGTCCGCCACGAGCGCAAAACATCCAAAAACGTCTCCGCCGCTGTCACAGACAACACATCCCGCCTGGATGAAGAGGAGGAGGAGGATGGAGGGGGAGGAGGGGGGATGAAAAGTTGAATGGCTACTAGAAGACACCTGGGCGCGTCAGGACAGGAGGAGGGAGGGGGTGGGTGACAACAGAGAAGCGCGGACGAGCCAAACGAAGCGCACAACTTGGCAGCGAGTTGATGCGCCGGATGGGAATTAGTTCCGTGCCGAGGTGTCTGTAGGACAGTGAAGAGAGAGCAAGTTTGTCTGGGAGACAGAAAAAAAGGATTTCCTCTGTCTGAGCAGCGCGGATCAGGAGCGGGAGACGGGGAAGAGACACGCGCGCTGGCGAGACGCGTCCTGCGGCTCGGAGACCCGAGGAGACACCGAGGAGCGCTGAAACCCCGGAGACAGCGCCCCGACAGAAATTCTTTTTCAATTGTTTTTTAATTACAGACGTTTTTTTTTTAATCTTTTACTGGAGTTTTTACCACTTTTTCCCCGGAGATAAAAACACAATCATCCCTGGAGGAGGGTAAGAGGTTCTGAATGAAAACAAGCTTTCATTACGCAGGAGTTAAAAACCAAACAAGTAAAGAGTTTACGGATGAACCCAGACTAAGTCCAGCGCTGAAATATTAATCTGGAGGCCAAATTTATGACCAAAATATTTATTCAGTGGCAGCTTTCTACAGAGGCGCTGAGGCAGATTTGTGACCCTGAACGTGATTCTGTTTTGCATCCTAACAGTCGGCTTGTCTTCATAAGTCTTACTTGTCGCGGTTTCTGTTTCAGTAAGTTTACATCTGCTGGAGGGGGGGGGGGGGGGGGGGGATTTTTTTCCTGGAGCAAAAATAAAAATCTTTTAATCCGCGCTGATTTGCATAATAAATCAGAGCTTTTCCGTGGTTTCTTTTCGTTTAATGTCCTAAAGGAGCACAACGATTTTTTAATTGTATATTTTTTATTATAATTTAATTATGTTTTATCATTTTGTTTGTTTTTTATTCGATTTGGTTAAATCATTTTAATCATTTAAAATGCAAAATGAAGAGGAAAAGATTTTTCGTTTTGTAATTTTCGTTGTTGTTTGTTTAATATGATTTTGTTTTAAAACAAAACATATTGGACTGATAAAGCAAATAAAGCATTAATTTATTTAACGTTTCTATTTGTTTTTTTGTTGTTTTTGCTGTTTTTATTTACTTTTGTTTATAAAAATGATCTCCGCAGAACCTTACAATGTTTTTCTCATGAAAATGTTCTCTGTTACTTTCACTGAAGTTAAAGTTGCACAACCGTTCACTTTATTCTCGGTCACAAAATATAAAATATAAAAATCTGACATTTTCACCTGTGGCTTTATAAGTTGTGTGTGTGTGTGTGTGTGTGTGTGTGTGTGTGTGTGTGTGTGTGTGTGTGTGTGTGTGTGTGTGTGTGTGTGTGTGTGTGTGTGTGTGTGTGTGTGTGTGTGTGCGCTCCTAGTGGTTTTTCTCAGTGGGAGGTTTTGTGGTTAGGCTGTGTTTGGACACAGTAACCTGCTCTGATACTGATCAAAGTCTGATCTCTCTTTCTTTATTTCTCTCTCCCTCTCCCTGCAGATCTTGGATGGGTCAGGCCATGTAAAGTTCTGCGTGGACGCCAGCAAACCAGACACAGGGAGCTGGCTGAAGCATGTCCAGTTTGCCACTGGGGCCACGCAGCACAACCTAACAGCGTGCCAGATCGATGATCAGGTACGTGAAGACATGATTCCTCCGCAACTGCTCCCAGAAAAGGGAAGAAAGAGGAGAAAGAGAGAAAAGGCATTATTTGAGTTTGAAATTCCCAAAGGGTGATGTGTCTTGTGAATCGTTTGAAAGGTTAAAGACTTTCTTCAAACACAAGTCTGATTCCAGAAGGCCTTTAGGCCGTTTCCGCTGCCTGTCCTGTCTGCGCACCGGTGTTAAAAGGTGTTATTGTGATCTTCATCAGATACACTTTAACTCTCACACACACACACACACACACACACACACACACACACACACACACACACACACACACACACACACACACACACGCAGCTCTTCTCCCATGCTGCAACACACAGGCTCCTCACTATCTCTGCATGTTTTCCTCCTTTAATTGTGTCGAGGACCACAGGGTACGATCAGAGGCAACCCTTCGGGATGATAGTTCCACTCGCTTCCTGGTCACGCTTGCGATGTAAACTCCGAGATATGTCAGGAATGTCGGAGTCCTTTTGCTGCTCACCTGGCTGTAGAGAGGTGCGTGCTGCTCACATGGGGGCCTCTTCATCTCAGTAATCCCATGCAGAAACACACCAAGAGGCACGGGAGACAAGAGCCTAAACTCTGGTTGACACATGTGGAGCATACCATCCCTTGACCCGGATGACAAAAACCCTAATCTACCTTGCATGGTTGTCATCTCTTCTCACTGGTGGTCCATCTAGATCTGTTGTTCATTATCATCCACTCAGATCTAAGCATTTGGGGGGTTGATTTGACAAACTCTCCTTTCACACATCTGCGTTCCTCCTCTCATTAAAGAGGACCAGGTAGCTGGAGAACCTCATAAAGAGGACGTGAAAGAAGAGCCAGCCAGGCTCTTAAGGAGACGGGAGATAAACAAGCAAACGGAGCGTTTTCACCCGGCTTGACTCGAGGTGTGACTTGCTGTCAGCACCGTGGTTCTGCTTGGGCGGCCGTGTAAGAGGCCGACGTGTCACGGACATGGCTGTGATGAGGTGATTGTTAAGTATCACACACTGTCACAGCACGGCACAATGTGGCGTCTTTCAGCCTTCCGGCCAACGCCGGTGTTTTTGAAAATGCACTGTAACATCTGACAATGCCTGTGTGTGTGTGTGTGTGTGTGTGTGTGTGTGTGTGTGTGTGTGTGTGTGTGTGTGTATGTGTGTGTGTGTGTGTGTGTGAGAGAGAGAGAGAGAGAGAGAGAGAGAGAGAGAGAGAGAGAGAGAGTACGCTGTATAACTGCAAATTGTTTATTGAGGTTTAGATGACTCCCCATGCTCCTCATTCCGAGCTGGAAACGTTGAAGCACACACACATGTGCACACACACACACACACACACACACACACACACACACACACACACACACACACACACACGTTACCTGATTCCAGCAGGTCTTTATAGCCTCAGAGTGAAGCACGGAGTCCAAACCCCCTGCCTGAAACCACTGATGACGCATTCGCCGCATCCTCACTTTTCCACAGAGCTGCTTGTTCTGCTAAATCTCCCTTCAGGAACAAGTTTAAGAAACTCTCCTCCAGCCATCAGACATGAACGATTTGTCACCTGATTTATTTGAGGGCATTGTCCTGCACTGGCAGCGATTTCCAGGTGTGTCGGTCGTTATTTTGAGTTGGGTCTTTTCCAGTAGAGCTCCTCCGTTCTCTTATTTCTGACCCAATTCTGTTCATCATAAAACTTTATGGCTGTTCTCAGGAGAAGAGACGGAGGAAAGAAACGGGGCGGGGTAGTGAACGAGTGAGTGAAAACATGCTTTTTTTTTTTCCTAGAAGGAGAAACTGCAGAATTTAATTTGCTCTATTTCTCTTTGAATTTCTCACATTTGAATCAGCTTTGTTGAAACATAAAAAAAACTTGTGTTCTGGAATGATCTGCAAAGAGTCAGAAGTTATAGGGTTTACTCCCTTTTGGAACAGTTTTAAACAACATAAGCCTGTTAATAACTACAGATTTCAGATTTAGGAGTCTGGATACATTTTAAAATTGTGTTTATTTTCTCTTTTTAGTTGTATATTTTGTATAAAGCAGCTGTGAGGTGGCAGATGTCTGTATTTTCTTAATAATGGCCAAAGGTTAAAGGTTTGAATTGACCCTGCTCAAAGAAAATCAGGCATTTTAAATGACTGACACCAAAAACCTGCTTAAGCTTTTCACCATCCGCATGGCTCTGCTAAATCAGTGTGCACGGATCTGCCCGTGTTGTCGTTGGGATAATTAGGGCAATTAGCGCTTGGATAAACCCTCCTCTGCACTCCTCACTCCAATGATTCAAATGAATGGAAAATTGATTAAAAGTGTAACTAAGATCATTCAGCGAGGCCCTGAAGAGCCTTTCATAAGACAGTACAGAGGGATATGAGCCTTAATCTCATCCGCTCTATTGATTCCCACTCAGAAGTTGAGTGCAGTGGAGTAGCTCAGGGGCATATTAGCCAAACACCGATGGTCGTTCTCAGTGAGAGTAAACTGGAGCTGATTGTTACTCACACAGATAACAGCTTGAACCTCATTAGGGTATAAAGCAGTCACCACAATTGATTGTTAAAGGAGAGTGGATTTATTAGAACAGCTAAAGGTTGAAAACCCCTCCTTGTTGTTTCCAAGCAGAGGCGGATCTAGGATTTTTCTGAGTCAGAGCTCTCAAGGGGTCACAATATTTATGGGGACACAAGCAATAAATTCACCCTCTTTAATCCAAACATTAATGTAAAACTATATAAAGATGAGTAAATAAAAACATTTTCATTTCACTAGTCATTTTCTAAATAAAAACCTTATAGTTTTTGTGGATGTGCTTAAATAAATGTGAAAACAATAACTCAAATAAAAGTCCAAAATGCCTTTTTCTGAAATGTTCGTGTGTCTTAAATCTGAGGTAAATGTGTTTGATGCGTATTGTTTTCTAATGAAAATGATTGACAGTCACAGGCTAAACTCTCCCAGCTCTACCATGAGGGATGATTTAGTGTGCCAACACAAAACTGATTATGGTCTCATCCGGACCCCCGTATGAAAACTTTCTGGGGACGCCACTGAAGCTTGGTGCTAGCTAGGTATCAGCTAACAGATAATAGGGTGCAAATAAGGAACATGTTGCTGTGTTTACTTTATCCATGTGTCGAGTCGTAGCTCCTGTGCGTCTCAGGGTTGACAGTAAAAGTGTGTGAGGAGACACAGAAGTTAAATGAGTAACATACATGAACACACTCTGCTGGCCATCAACATCATCAACATAAAACTCATTTATTTCGTATTAATTTAAAACTCATGTGATAATAATAAAAAAATGCCTCAAATGACGTTAAGCCACGGATTCTGTTTGCTGTGGGAGTGTGTTAAAGATGACCTCAAAGGTATTACCTTGCACCCTTCACTGGTTTGCTGCCTGTTGGTTGTGTGTGTGTGTGTGTGTGTGTGTGTGTGTGTGTGTGTGTGTGTGTGTGTGTGTGTGTGTGTGTGTGTGTGTGTGTGTGTGTGTGTGTGTGTGTGTGTGTGGTGACCCTCAGGGAAGAGGTGGAGCTGTTGAGGCGGATTCTCCTGTTTGTAATCACCCTCTTGTTTGTCCTTAAAACTGAAGCAAATTACCTATTTTTGAGCAGAGTGATTATTTCCTAATATAGCAGTTTGGCTCAGAGCCAGGAGAGGTGTTTTTTATTATTGTTGCAGGTTGAATCCTTCACATATGTTTGCATGTTAGCTGCTGCTTTCTAAGACTGATCAGAGTGTGTTTCCTCGTGATGACGAAGCTACTCTTGTTTTATTAAATTGTTTTAAGTATTTTTGATTCGCTCTACATTTTTTTCCATTTCATCCACTTCCCAAAACAACCTCCTCCGTATCAGTCTCTGAGCAGGAATCTCTCCTGACCAACAAGTCTGTTTGAGCTGCCTTCTGATTGTTTCTGAATCACAATATTTTTGTGACCTGATGGGAGCAATGGCCTGGATATGTTTGTCTATGTGAGCATGCACGTTCTCTAATGGACTAGTCTACCACCACACACTCGTGTGTTTATGCAATAGGCTGTAAAACATGTCAGAGATCAGCAACCCTCACACTCCAGTTCCCTCAATTCTTTTGCTGAAACAATGAAGTTTTGGCATCTCTCTGTGACAAACCAGTAAATATACTGGTTCACTTTTCTCTGTGGAATGTAAATATTTCTAAATTAGAATTGATGTTTTTTTTTTAAGTTTTCAAAAGAGTTTTTGCCCCTCATACAATGTTTCAGATCATCAACGAAACTTCAGTATCAGACAAAGATAATCTGAGAAAAATATAAAACGCATTTTTTTAATTTTCATTTTCATTAAGAGGGAAAAAAGAGGACAAAACCAACTTGGCTCCTTAACAGAACTTGTCAAAAACATGGACTAAAAATCTCTAAAAGCGACACATATGCTAGGTCTGAAGGTCTTAGGCCAATCATGCATTTGTGTCATAAGATACACAAAATAAAAACATTTGGATTATCTCCAGAAATTTTGGGGGGAATTTTCTGTGGACCAATGAGACAAAAGAGAAACTCTCTGCAAGGCTTTTTTAGAGTAAATCCGCCAAAGTCAACAGTAAAACACGGTGGTGGCAGTGTGATGGTCTGTTGCTGCTTGTTGCTTTGGGAGCTTGGCAACTTGCTGTCATTAATGGAACAATGAAATCTGCTTTGCAGCAGAAAATCATGAAGGAGAATGTCTGACCGTTGACCTGAAACGGTCTGAATAAAAAGCATTTCTACAAAGAAGATTGTCTAGTTTGAAACTTGTTTGCTGATTGCAAATATTAAACTGGGACAGAAAAGTAAAAACAGAAGGAATCTGCAAAGATGCAAATCCAACCACCAGCTAGCGATGTGCATCAATCACAGGTTAGACTCAAGATCCTTTGAATCCGGTGACCTTGTAGAGTCCTAAATCATCTGCTAGATAAGAACAATGACACATACAGTTATAGACCACATAATACCTTGCGATCTTTGTATTTGGCCAAGATGCTTATCTTAGTCTTAATGCGGTGCCATTGTGGGTCTAATGTCACTGTCGCCATAAGTGGTCTACCTGTGACCCACGCCTTCCCAGAAGTATTCTTCCTCCCCTCCCCTCCTGTCACATTTCTAATAAACTCCTCCATCGTCATTGTCATGTTGACACAGCCAAGGAAGCAGACATGTTAAATGTCTAAAGCACGCCCAGAATAACCCCGCTCGTGATTGTCTCACAGAGGAAAGCTATTGTGTGTCCATGGGAAGCTTCACAGTTGAAGGGTCTCTCAGCTGATTCTTTAATGTGACCACCACACCCCAACCCTCCCTGTAAATGTCTGGGATGCCTTTGTAACGTGAAGCTTTGTTGGTGAAGGGGTTTAAGTGAAACTTTAAAACACACTGAAAATATATATATTTTTATTCTGTCTAATTCTTCTGTCCACACAGTCATTCACCACTCCCTTCCTAACATCACTCTACCGTGTGCCTTTGTGAGACATTGTGTTTATTCTGCGTGATGGTTGTTTGTGTTTTCTTTCATATTTGTGAAAACTGATGTCTCACAAGGTGATTGATTACAAGTTAATGGTCGTGTACATTTCTGTGGATATCTTGACCCTCTGTTGTAGCTGCGGGACCACAATCGTGTTCAGAGCCGAGCCAGTTTGTGTGCTTGTGTGTATTTTGCTACAGTATCTGCAGCTAAATTGAAAACACCGTGTAGACGTTTGAAACTAGAAGTTAAGTGGTTTCACACGCTGTTGTTTCAGATTTTCTACAAAGTCACCAGAGAGATTTTTCCCGGCGAGGAGCTCCTGCTTTTCATGAAGGCTGAAGATTTTTCATGTGACACCATGGCTCCTGATATTCACGGTCCGCATCAAACACACTCACATCTAAACGCACACCCAAACACACATTGTGCTAACTTGCCCACTCCTCTTCTTTGCAGAGGAAAGGCAGTACCGATGTGAAGACTGTGACCAGAACTTTGAGTCCCGCACCCAGCTGCTGGACCACCAGAAGCAGCCATGCGGGATGCCCCCCTCTTCTTTTCTTAACCCAGGTCTGATTCCAGGTCTTCTTTAAGTTTTAGTTTAATTTAATTGACATTAGTGTCGGTTTGTTTGCTCAAGGAGAGCACAAAAGGAAATGTTACGTGTCAGCAGGGCCGCCAACGCTCACGCATTGAGTGTGAGACACAGACCCTCTTCACACGCTCTCATGACACACCTCCAATATCTCCCGCTGATTACTCACCCCCCACCCCAAATATAGCTAATGACAGGAGAAAAACAAAAAGTGCATGTGAGGAATGAGCTGACGCAGAAGAAGAAGCTGAAGCAAGCGAGCTCAACTAGAACTGAGATCAAACTGTAAACAGGACAAGTCTACAAATGTGGAAATGTAAAAACACAGATTTGTCCAGTTTGATGTACATTACTTCTCAACTCATTGACTGCCAGCCATTTTCTGAACAGACGCGTCACAGAATTTTGTGCTCTATGACCGTGTAAACATCAAAACTACGTCAGGAAGAATCAGTGTGTTTCTAGCATTTTCCGTTCCTTCACAATCCGTTGTCGAAGTGTGAGCTGCAGAAGCGTTTCCGGTTTGCACCTCGCTTTAGGAATAGCGGCTCCCAAATCCATCTCCTAATTCATGGATTGTCTGCATCATGATCATGTGACATGCGACACACACGGGTGAAAATTAACTTTAGAGGTGTGATGTTTACTCTCAAGGTGTGCAAGCTTGTTCCTAAGCCTGCCCCGTTAAAAAAACACACTCGTCAATGGCAGTGAATGAGTTAAATGGGGAGAGAAAGACAGACTGACAGAGTGAGAGATAGAGACTGACTTACACAGAGAGAGAGAGAGAGAGTAAGAGAGAGAGAGAGAGAGAGAGAGAGAGAGAGAGAGAGAGAGATACAGAGAGAGAGAGACAGACATACAGAGAGAGAGGGAGTGAGAGACAGACAGACACATACAGTGAGAGAGAGGGAGACAGAGAGAGCGAGAGACAGTCATAGAGAGAGAGAGAGAGAGAGAGAGAGAGAGAGAGAGAGAGAGAGAGAGAGAGAGAGAGAGACAGACATACAGAGAGAGGGAGTGAGAGACAGACAGACACATACAGTGAGAGAGAGGGAGACAGAGAGAGCGAGAGACAGTCATAGAGAGAGAGAGAGAGAGACAGAGAGAGAGAGAGAGAGAGAGAGAGAGAGAGAGAGAGAGAGAAAAATGTCCCATTTATTTATTTACATAAAGGTGCCAGGTCTCTCTCTCTAACATGGCACTGATTGGTTTTTACAGGCGCTGATTTTAGGGGCTGGCTTTTGTAATCATTTAGTTGCAGAATACCTTTAAAACCTCCATAACTGTGTGCAGGTACCTTGGTAGAACTGTCCTCGCCAAATTTCTAGTCCAAAAATAAAACATGGCCGTGCCTAAAGGGGATAGTTTGGCTTTATTGATAAACAACAAAAAAAGGAGGAGAAACGTCCATTCTAAAAATATCTCCATAACAGAGATGGCCAAAAATAACGACAAAAGTTGTGTTTCACTGTGGCCTCTGTCAGAAATGAATAAGCAAAGAACTAGACTGTTTATGCATAATTTCCATTATCTTACATACATTCTGGTGTACACAGGGGGAGATAGTGACCTGAAAGCCCAAGAACCTCAAGACCTGCAGCCCCTTCACATGTCTCACGGCCTGCATGAGTGTAAGGAGTGTGATCAGGTCTTCCCTGATGTCCAGAGGTACATTAGTTTGTACACCTTTATGTTCTATACCTCTATCTTTTTAATGATCAAAACCAATTCTAACTGCTGTTCTCTCCTCTGTGCTTCCTTAAGCCTGGAGGCTCACACCCTGTCACACTCCGAGGAGAGGGAATACAAGTGTGATCAGTGTCCCAAGGCCTTCAACTGGAAATCAAACCTAATCCGACATCAGATGTCACATGATAGCGGCAAACACTATGAATGTGAAAACTGCTCAAAGGTAGAGTGAAACTGCTTGATGAAGCTGCATTCGTGTTTACTTTTGTTTCCATGGCTAATTGTATTCCTAGAATGGGATAATAACTCCACCACGGGTCTCTGTGGTTCCTTCCCCCAGCAGGTGTTCACAGACCCCAGTAACCTACAGAGGCACATTCGCTCGCAGCACGTCGGGGCTCGTGCTCACGCCTGCTCCGACTGCGGCAAGACGTTTGCAACGTCATCGGGCCTCAAGCAGCATAAGCACATCCACAGCAGTGTCAAGCCCTTCATGTGTAAGTCACTAAGACCCTACCTATGTAAGTCTCCTCAGTACATTATAACAATAACATGATTTCACTTGACTTTATTAGAAACTCTGATGATTTGTTAGAAGTATGGTTTCTATTTAATCAGCTTTTTCTCGTGTTCCACAGGATTTACACTCATTTCTTTTTGTCGTGCTTGTGTGAAGTGTGCAGGGTTTCTTCTCTTTATCAGCGTTCTCTTCCACTGCTTACAGCATGTCACAGAAATCCAGTCCAATCAGCTGTCTGTGCTACAGCTCACTCTTTTGTCCCCTGTTAAGTTGCTTTGTGACTTAAGCACACACTTATGTTCCCACTCATCGGCGAACTCCAGCAAGACCCAAACACATTTTGACCTTTCACACTTTTCAGCACCGCCACTGGAGATCCAATCTCCTTCCCCTGAAGCGTTCTGATCTTTCCCCTCTGCCCCTTCTCCCTTTCCCTTTTCTCTCCATCTTTCACACACACACACGCTAACTCACACCAACCTGTCTGAACACTAAAATCACATGCACATATATGCAGAGGCAGGAATGACTGGATCTCTTTCGAAGACCTCATTATTCCCTTTTCGCTCTTTCTCCCTTTCCTCTGCCTGCACCACATTCACCATTCCTCACAAATAGCAACCACATGTACGGCCCTGCAATTCGCCCATTTGCTGTAATCAGCAGAAAAAAATGCAGTTTTAAAAACAACTAATGGATGTGTTAAAGAAAAAAAGAATAAAAAGCAAAGCAGCTTCAAACATGATGGCTGTCTGGACCAGATCATGTGTTGGAGAGTGTGTGCGGGAAATGTTTGTTTGACTGACTGCTCTTGAAGGACGTGTTTGCCTTTTTGGACAGTGTACTGTATGCACACATGACTGCGTGTATGATTCTGCATGCAATGTGTCAAGGATGCATGTGTGTTTTGCACTTCTCCATGAGATGGAAACACTTGGCTCATTAATTCTGTCTTTCTCCAATAGATGCATTTAGAAAAGTTTGAGTGTATTGACGGCTGATGAATGTGTGGAAGTTGTGCGTCACATCTCATGTTAGTGTGTATTACTTGTGTATTTTTGGGTCTATAAATGTCAGCTTTATGATTTATGGTCGAGAGATTTTTCTTATACTCTCTTCAGGGCTCTGCAGCCATGTTAGTAAAAAAAAAAAAAAAAAAAAACAGAAATCAGTCGAGTCAGCAACAGTTTTTGGTTTTACATCTTCTCTGACTTTTTAAAGAGCAAGTCACCCCCTACAAGAAACTTACTTCACTCCCACTTCATGTTTGAAAAATGCAACAAATGCTGTTGCTTGGCAGACCGAGAGGGCGGAGCCGCTAACAAATACACACACACACACAGGCTCACAATGGCATTGTGACATCATAATGTACCAGATGACATCATAGCATACCTCTTAGCCAATAGCGGTGGCAGATTTAAATTCAAATACAGTGCAGAATTTTTCCGTGACGACGGCGCAACACTGACAGTTTTAGGCAGAATATTTGAATTTTAACCAAGATGCACTGAACTGCCAAATTATTGACTACATGTGTCTGTAGCATGATTGGACACACCTTTATATAGTTTATCAGCAAAAAAAAAAAAAGTGATTTGGGGTGACTTGCTCTTTAAGTAAACCAGAGCTGATACCTCTCTGGTACTCTAACTTTGATTTTCCCTTGTTGTTTTTTCAATTGAAGATGCAGTAGCATTTAAAACCTCGCTCACTGTGTTGTTGCTGAATAAAGGTGACTTGGGTGGTCAAATGTGGTATTCCAAAAAGTCAGAGCAGTGTCTGACCTGCTGTCAACACAAATCTGGAACACAGGAGGGAGAGATGGTTGGTTTGGACTAAAGCTGGTGTGTTACATTATAAGCAAGCCACACCTCCTTTACATTTGCATGTCCCAACCCACGTCAGTGTTAGTGGTAAGGCTGACCACGGAACAATGCTAGGTTGGGCTACTGCTAACAAGAGGAAAATAAGAAAGAAGAACGTTGGAGAACCACACACACGTTCCAGGTTGTACTGGGAATATCCAGATTATGAATGAATGCCAGATAGAGCCATAGTTTGTGGTCTTTGGTCTTGTCAGTTCATACTTTGCTCATCAACACTCCGACATGGAACTGAGTATCTGTAAAGATATTCATCTGTGCTCAACACCTTTTGAGAAAATGGCAACGATTCGATGCTTTTGTTTACTCGTTAACTTCTTTGGTTGGATAACGCCCACTCTTGGTTTGGTGAAAAATCCTTTGGAGTTCTTCTGAGCTGTTTACATAAACATGCTTCCCAGATACTTTTCTCTCCTTTTCCTCTGTGTGTTCTTGAATTGCCTCCTGAGCACCTTGTGTCTGGAGGCCTTTCAAAGTATGCTGATGCACAATCAAAATGTGAGCCTTGCCACTTCCTGATCCTCAACTTGACTTATGACATCATGAGCAAACTGGAGAATTTGAGATCAGTGAGCTCAGTTGAATCTAATCAAGTCTTTTCTTAGTATCTTGCTTGCACTCTTTCACCAGGACAGCAAAGTCGTCCACACATATTAGATTAGGTTGATGGATTGATTAGGGAGATAGACATTTGGTGCCAGACAAAGTCAAGTGCCTGTGGGAAGGTAACGTTTTGCAGGATGACATGGCCTCAGCTATGGGGACAAGGTGAGAGGCAGCTGCAGGGTTGACTCCAGGAGGTGCAGAGGTGGGGGCTGGGGGGGGGGGGGGGGAGAAGCGGCAGAGGACGTGAGACCTGTCCCTGGGAACTGGACCGCAGGATAGGATTCATTCAACTCCACTTCCTTCACAAACTTAAAATAGGGCCATTGTACTGCATGTGGCTGAGAATGTGTGTGTGTGTGTGTGTGTGTGTGTGTGTGTGTGTGTGTGTGTGTGTGTGTGTGTGTGTGTGTGTGTTAGTATCTTTATGTCTGTTGGTGTTTCTGCGTGTGTGATTCGTTTTCTTTGTGTTATGTGAAAACTTAGCGAATGTGGCTGCGTGTCCATATGTGTGTCTGTTTGTGATTGTTTGTGGACTCGTTGGGAGCGCCCCTGAGAGGACAATGGGAATAGAGATTCCTGGGATTCTAGTTTGATGTCCAGGTGATGAGTGACTCATGCCGTCAACCCTAAAGATTGCTGTACAATTCCAGGATCTGAACATGCCTTTTCATTTTCAGAGTATTGATGGGAATATGACCATTATCTTGCAGACTGTATTTAGTCATCGTGAAGCTGACTAAGGATATGACATCATGTGTTGTTATTTTGTGTGTGTGTGTGTTTGGCTGTCAGGGTGTCATAGGGCTTATACTTTGTACATATGTCTCCATGTCCCTGCAGGTGAGGTATGCCACAAGTCCTACACCCAGTTCTCTAACCTTTGCCGGCACAAGCGCATGCACGCTGACTGCCGCACACAGATCAAGTGCAAGGACTGCGGGCAAATGTTCAGCACCACTTCATCCCTCAACAAGCATCGGCGCTTCTGTGAGGGAAAGAATCACTTCACAGCAGGGGGACTGTTTGCCCAGGGCATGCCACTACCTGGCACCCCTGGCTTGGACAAAACAGCCCTTGCAATTGGCCACAGCAGTGCTGGACTGGCTGATTACTTTGGGGCTAGCCGCCACCATAGTGGCCTAACCTTCCCTGCAGCTCCAGCATTTCCTTTCAGCTTTCCTGGCTTGTTTCCTTCTGGACTCTATCATCGCCCACCACTCATTCCCGCCACCACATCTCCTGTCCGACAGCCAGTTCAGGCACCTGTTGCGGGGCCTGGTGCAGACCTGAGTAAAAGCCCCTTGCTTCCTTCAAGCCCAGGTGCTCTGGAGTCGCAGGAGTTGCTGAAGGCCCTCCGAAAAGATGGCAGTTCACCTGGAAGTCAGATACCAAACTCAGAGCTCCTTAATCAGGGTTTATCTTCAACTACAAAGCAGAACAAGCAGAGTGACCATTCTGAAAGCAGCGACCTGGATGACGTCAGCACACCAAGTGGAAGTGATCTAGAGAGCACGACGGGCTCCGAGCTTGAGAGTGATATGGACAGTGAAAGGGAGAGGGGAGCTGCTAGAGAAAACGGCAAAGGTCCCAAGAGAAAGTCTCGCGAGGGAGTCTCTCAAAGCCCGGGCTTTAGCAAAAGTGCTAGCAAAGACTTTCCAGGACCTTCATTTATTCAGTCTTCACTGGACGAACACACAGCTGTAACAGGAGCTGTCAATGACTCTATTAAGGCCATCGCCTCTATTGCGGAGAAGTACTTTGGCTCAACTGGGCTTGCTGGCTTACAAGAAAAGAAGGTCGGATCTCTGCCCTACCCTTCAATGTTCTCACTGCCTTTCTTCCCAGCATTCTCTCCACCAGTTTACCCTTTCCCAGAAAGGGATCTCAGACCAACAGACCTGAAGGGTGAGCCACAATCACCAGAAGATGGCAAAAAGGCACAGACCAAGTCATCATCTGAGTCACCGTTTGACCTGACAACAAAGAGAAAAGAGGAAAAGTTAGCCCGCTTTGCTTCCTCCAAACTAGAGGCCTCTCACCCTACTGGTCAAGATCAACCACTAGATTTGAGTCTTGGGTCTAGGGGTCGTGGACGTACTCCAAAGCAGGAGGAGGCTAAAAAGAACCCAAGCTATGATGATGAGAAGAAGAGAGTGGTGGAAATTCCAAAAGCTGATTCCTCCTTACAGCACGCCAGACCCACCCCCTTTTTCATGGACCCCATCTACAGGTATTGTTATTCCCAGTGACTCACTTAACCATGCATTTCTTACTAAAATGAATTTTCATTCTCTAATTGTTATTGGTTTACCAAAACGGAATAGATTTGTTAGTAAATTTGCTGCTCCACATTCATTAAGAGCTAATAGAAATCTACTATTAGCAGGGTTGAGAAGAGGAGAATGAGCGATCCGTTTGAGGCTCTGAAAGACAAATACATGCGACCAGCTCCAGGCTTCCTTTTCCATCCACAGGTAGGTCCTGACCATGTCAATTTTAAGAACTTAGTCATCTTAGGGTACTTAGAGGTATATTTGTCTTACTAGATGGTTCTAATCATCTGATTTATTGGGTAATAAGGTCAAATAGGTTAAAGGAGCAATATGTAAGATTTCTACAGTAAAACAATCACAAAACAGTCTAATGTCTCAGTCATGTTGGATGGAAAGTTACATCGAAACAGATTTACCTCTCACTTGGCTGTGGGGTTGTCTGTTTTATTCTTTCAACAGAAAGTAAAGAGCAATGACGTAACTTTACAACTAGTGAGCTCGTGAGGTTGCAGAGTCTGCGTCGAGCTAGTGCAGTGGCACCGGCATTTGTAATTCGACACCATCAGGCAAAAAACTCCAGAGTTGTTTAAAGAACCAAAGCAAGTAAACAGGAGCAGAAACACACCAACCTTTAACTTACCAGAATGGAAACATTCCAGAAGGTGATGTTTGGTCACCTTATAGATGCGATCCAAGCGAGCCAACGAGACTTTGCTATGTTAGATACTTGGTCTCGTGGCTGTGCCTCCAAGCAGGAAAACAGTGAAAAGTTTGCCCCTTTTCCCCTTTTATTCCCTGGCGATCACGTGTCACACCCCACAGCACAGCAACGATTTACTATGGTTGCGTGATATAACCCATCCAATGAATAATAGATTAATTTAAGTCATAAGAACAAGACTAAAAGTGTTGTTTACAACAAGCCACAAACAAGGTCTCATAGGCCGCCAACAGGGTGGCTGTGTCAGTGATGACGTCGCGATCACAAGCCTTATACGAGGGAAATTTACCGTAATAAGTGTAGTAAGTTCTCCCTACTGTAAAACACCCAAGAATGGTAACACCAGATATAACAATGTATTTATCTACTTATCAACTTACTGTATAAGCCTCATCTTTACTTGTTATCTAGAATCTGCTGGTGCTGATCCATGACTGGAAACAGCCATGAAACTCAGTGAGAAAGTGGTGGGAAAGTGGGTTTTTTTTGCTTTGGAAAATGGGCTGCAGTAACCAGACTTGACCACAGCGTGTCACTCTTACTTCATTCTCACATATTGCACCTTTAAACTTGTCTAAGAGTATACAAAACCCTTCTAATGACACAATCCTTGTTACGTTCACAGATATGACAACAGTACGGCACAGAATATTGTGATTCACCATGGGTGTTCAAAGCTGGCCAAACCAGACGAATAAGAAATTGCTCCCAGTATTATACAAGCTACTGACTGTGAAGCACATTGTTGCCTATCTAAAACAGATGTGTCAGAAATAAAGGACACATCTTCCTTTAATGTGTTTTTGATTACGATATAAAAAGTGATATGCTTAAGAGGTGCATGAGTATTTTTTACAAGTATGTCCGAGTATTAAACTCTACAATGTGTGTGTGCATGTGCGTGTGTGTGTGTGTGTGGATAACATGTTGCTTGGACGATCATTTGTCCAATCTTCCCCGCGGGTGAGAACGGTTCGACGGAAAGTGAAAACGCCACTTTCTCAGGCATATGATTTTTTTTCTCCACCCTTTTTTTTAGGCAGTTTCAGGTCTGGTTTTTACAGGCTGTTTCATTTGTCTGATTTATGTCCCCTGTCCAGACTGCTGCACGGGCCCAGCCTGAAGCAGCCACATGGTCGTCCCACACGCTTTAATGAGGTGTCCTATCACTAGAAACACTAACAGAGTGCTTAGGCCATCTTTATGACTTTATGATGTCTGGACACACAAATCATTCCCACAAATACCAGACTTGCATGGGTCCTAGCCAGACCACGAAAGAGGCCCTTCTGTAGTTTTGAGGGGGCTTGTGTTTTTCGGTCACCTGACTCAATAGTGAGCAACCTATTACAAAAATGAGGTTGCTAGGCTGAGGTGAATGAAATTTCTTCTCAAAGGCGTTGGTGATTCATCTTAGAATTCCCTGGCAGGATGTTTTACTAAAACTTATTTGGTTAGATTACACATCGGAACTGTATTTTTATCCTCCTATAATGAGATTATTAAACACGAGGAAGTGTTGGAAATGGTAAGAGTCTCCTATAACACCAGTATTAAACGGAGCAATTACTCAAAGATTGCTAGCCCCCAAACCCAACACCCCCCTTCCTGGGTAACAACGCGAGTCCAATCAAAAGTTGTTGATTCATGTACAACTTCTCATTTCTGACTGCCTTCTTTCTTTCCTCTCTTCCATCCTTCAGTTTCGTTTGCCAGATCAGAGAACTTGGGTAAGTTCATCTTTAACCTGCAGCTCTAACAAGTCAGACCCCATTCCAAATCAAATGCATGGGCTGTATTTAGAACTGGCTGAACCCAGCGCTCGCATGGCTTCAGTCTGTCACCAGTGGCGGCTCCAGAAATGTTTTTCTGCAGGTGCTATGAAGGAGCTAGTCTATGAAGGAAGTGGTCATGCGTACCTATTGTTCTCTAAAACACCTTCAACACTAGCAGATACACATGCGTGCACAAAACCTCAACAACACCTGAAACAAGCATTAATATACATCACAAACATATGAACAACCGCTGACTTTTCCATGAAATCATAAACACATACAGCCACACAGAAAACCATCTATAGTGTTACAAGGTTAGCTAACGTTAGTGTTAGCATTTCTAGCGGCAAAACCCTCGACTGCTGCGGCGGTTGAGGGTTGACTTTCTTCATCCAGATCTGTAGGTTTTTGTGGGTCTGAGATCACTTCCAAAGATTCATTCGTTTCTGACTGAACCCGTGGAAATTTGGGCAACAAAAACCGATCCATTTTACCACTAGCTCTACCTTTCACTCGTTCACAGGTGGAAAATGAGGTCAAAGGTTAACATCAATTTCCTGTTTTGGTTTAAGTTTTTACTATCTATATGATAATTCACTGATTATTTTTTTGTATGTTGAATATTATCACATCCACGTGTTAAATCAAAATTTAATTGTACAAAAAATAAATCTAATATTTACTCGGGGGTGCTACTGGGGTGCAATGACTAATCCAGGGGTAGCTATAGCGCCCCCCCCCCCCCCCCCCCCCTGGAGCCACCACTGTCTGTCTTCAGCATGCACTGGCACAGCTAGGACCACAGTTTTTGTGTCCAGTTAGCAAAAGTCCATGTGTTTTATTCATTTATTTGTTTATTTTTTGCTTACATGATGTTATGTCTTAAGTCAATCTCCTGCCGATCTGATTTGTTTATATCCTTACATCTACTCCATTTAACATGAAAAGGTTTGAGGTGGGAATTTCCAGCTGAGTTACGCCCAAATGTTTGCTCATTTGGAGAATGACGTTTTTCCAAAATGGTTAGGGGGATGAATGTAAGGTGTTGCGTTGCGAGATGTTTGTGGTGATGGTGATGTGTGTGTGTATGTGTGTGTGTGTGTGTGGGGGGGGGGGGGGGGCAGCATCAGGGAAAGGGTAACAGTCTCTTTGGGATTTTTCGGGGAAACGGGAGGTTACAACCTCCCTCCAAACATCTGGTTTCTGATAAAGATCAACAATTGAGAATGCATCTCGCTAATTAAGGCACTAACAGCATCACTGACATCTGAAGATGGCCAATCAACTGCTGGTCCCAGAGCGACGCTACAGCAACAAGCAAGCTCACAGATGCTTACATGCTGCCCACAGGGGGAGGACAGGGGGTTTCAGAAAGTTTGTGTGTGTGTGGGGAGGGCAGGAGAGGGGAGGGGAGGGGAGGGGATCTGGGTCAGAACTCAAGAGTAGATGGTCAAACGGTGGCCTAATGAACTCGGCTTAATAAAGAGTTCAGTATAACTCTGTAGCAGATTACCACTGTAATCTTTTGAAAGGGATCTGTGAATCCGCCACAAACCATTTGATTTGTTGAAAGAAGATCCTGTGAAGAAGATTTAGCAAGCGTTATGCTAATACTGTCACTACAAAACACAACAATGGCTAGCATGCATTTTTATAAACAAATTCCTTCTCACCTTTGATCAATAACTGAT